ATCGATCGATCGATCCCAAAAGGAGATTAAATATTGTTGTAGCTCATCAAGATTCTTCAAAGAGCCATTGAAGATGGTTTCATCAGACAGTCTGATGAAGAGGATGGTCAGGATTGTCCCTAATTTTCTTGATCCCATGAAGAATCTTTCTCTGCATGATCATCTTCAGAGGTTCCACAGTCGTTCCCAGAACAGAACCAGAGCAGAACCAACCTTCTTTATCAGGCTGTTGAGTGATTTTAGGTCCCTGGCTCTGATGCTGCTGCTCTCAACAACAGATTGATAGAAGATCTGCAGCATCTTGGTGCAAACCTTGAAGGACCTTAGGTTCCTCCAGAAGTCCAGTCTGTTCCGTCCCTTCTTATATTAATTATGATAATTTTCAGAGTAATTATTATTAATAACAACTACAATTATTACTATTAGTAATAGTAGTATAATATATTATTGCTGTTGATTTTTAATAATAGTGATGGTAATAACAATAATAATGTAATAATAATCATAATTAGTAATAATAATAATAATAATAACTATTATTATTATTATTATTATTATTATTATTATTATTATTATTATTATTATTATTATGTAATGTAACTTATTTATGTTATTATTACATATTTTATGTTATCATGAAATATAACATTTTATTTTGTTATACTGTCAAATAACAAAATAAAATACTTCTGTATTTTACCAAACCTATTTGTTATTTTGTCATCTAATTGTAAATAAACATTTTAATAAATGAACTACAGGTGATTAAAAGTTACTTTTGATAGCACCCTTTAAGCTGGTAATAAACATACTTTTCATTAAACCCATAGTTCTGTATTAAGTTGTTTTTTTACTGGTCTGATGTAATATGCAAATCTTAAATGTTGTGTTTTTGTGAACTGTAAGCAGAATATTGTCATAATTAACAGAAATAAAGGGTAGAAAACATCAGTCTGGGTTGAATATGTAATATATGAATTCCATTTAGTGATGGAGGCACTGAATGAACTTTTCAATAATATTCTAGTTTACTGATATGGCTGTATATCCCTTAAGCTTGTATTTGACTGAATTTATTCATTACCATGATACAGTTCCAAACTTAAGGTCCAGTTTCTATAGAAACGGAAAAATTAGTTAAAGAAAACTCATTAAGAACTAATGAAATTCATGGTCAAAAAAACTTAAACAGCACATAATAACCTTAAGAAATGTGGCACATTGTGGATTACAAAAAAAAAAAAACAATTTCAGCTTATAATTTCTAATTGCAAAAACCCCACTAGAAATGCATGTTTAAGGAAGCAAATATTAAAGTTATTAAGTACTTCCTGTTGGTTAATGAATTAATAGTCGATATTCCTAGTTTTTATTCATGTAACAAAGAGAAAAAAGAAAATTTTCTCCAGTGTTTGAGCTGTGAATTACTGATCAGAGAATATTGTCTTTTTCTGATCTCTGCTCAGTACATAAAACTTTCACATTTGTGTATTATTAAAATTAAGTAATTACAATGTCATTCTAAAATATTTACTCATTTCAGTAAATTAATTTTTAAAAAGTGAAACTCCTACAATGCTCAAATTTTCTGTTATATTCTAATTTTCCAATATGCACCCATACATTAGATCTGTTCGCAAAGTGTTTGTAAATTGTTGCTATATAATTAAAAAGAGCTGAACTGTTTTGAATTATGATCTCGTAACTTACATTCTTGCTTCATTTTTCATCATACAGTGGTATGGACATCTTCCCAACAGTTCTGTCTCTGGCAGGCGTAGCGCCCCCTGCAGACAGGCGTTACGATGGAATCGATGCCAGCGGCGTTTTGCTGCGCGGCGAACAATCTGGTCACGAGGTACAAACTGCTACAAACAGCTGGAAGTGTTGCGTTGCTGCGTTGCGTTGCTTTGTGAAACGGGACTGTCCTGTGTTCTGCTGTTGCAGTTCCTCTTCCACCCCAACAGTGGCGCTGCAGGAAAGTTCGGGGACTTGCAAACAGTTCGAGTCGGAAAACACAAAGCTTTCTACATCACAGGTAGAAATATAGTATGAATAGCAATAATTTTGCTGCTACGTCCATGCATTTGTTTCGGGGTGGAAACATCATACAAGTTGCGCTGCAGCTAACGATTGTTTTAATTATTCATTAATCAGTATCAATTATTGTGACAATTCATTTATTAATCAGATACAAAATTGGGGACATTCTAAAGATTTCTCATTTTAATGCAATATTAGAAATATATTAAAACATGTAAATAAGTAAATAATGCCAATCCTTTTTTAAATAGGAAAGTAAACTTTTTATTTCTTAAAATGCAGTAGCAGCATTCCTTTAGTGAACTCTTGATCATTTGTGGCAAAGGATGCATCTGAGGCTGAAAAATCCTCCCAACATCAACATGTGAAAAGCTCAGTTCTTTCTGCTGGATTGAACATAAATATGGTGTAAAGACGATCTGGTGATTATTTTATGACTAATGGATGAATCATTTGTTAGCAAAGGTGCTCAATAAGATATTTATTATTTCCAGAATTTGAATCAAGTGAAGCTAAATCTGCCACTAGAGGAGTTCTATGTAGAACTTATCTACAGACAAAGAAAGTTTTTTTTTTTTTTTTTTAGATGCCAAATGTATATTTTTGTTACAGTTTTGGCTAAATTATCTCCTTTGATTGTGTTGTTTTTTAGTAGCTGGCTTTTTTTGAGTCTCTAGTCCCCAGTTACTGATCAATCGATTACTAAATTAGTTGACAAGTAACAACATATGTATTGTGTCCTAAAGCCAGAATTTACTGTGAATTCTCTCTTATCCACACATGGTTACAGTTCTATATGTGGCTGAGTTTGAGGAACAACAAAGAAGGACCCAAACCAGTTGTATTGTCTGGTGGATTTTGTGCAATGCACAGTTCATACCACCAGCAAATTTAATATGAAGTTGCTGGAATGGACCTCATCTGAACCCAGCAAACCAACCTAGTTAAAACACACACATGTTTGATTCTCTGTCTTTGCAGGGACTTTCCACTGACTTCTATTCATTTCTACAGACACTAACCCTAGATCTAACCATTACTAGTACATACTTAACCCTGAAACTAACCAAAACTTGACAGAGTTTCAAAAACTTTTGTTCTTGAAACTCTGTCAAGTTAGTCTGCCTCATGTGGTGAAACAGAACAGAGAAGAGTTCAACACAACATGACGCTGTTGTGTTGAACAGTGCGGAAACAAAAGTGAAATGTTTTGTTTCTGCAAAACATTTCACTTTTTGCGGAAGGATTTAAAACTGAAACAGATTTTATTTTGGCAGGTGGAGCTGCAGCTTGCAGCGGCGGCACCGGCCAGGAGCAGCTCCACGATCCACCTCTGATATTTGACTTGGATCGTGAAGACGCCGAGGAAACACCCCTGCAGTTCGCCACAGCTGAGTACAGGGCGATTGCAGAGAGGGTAGCACGCAAAAGAGAGGAACTCCTGTGGGACATCGCCACTGACGGATCGGTGTCCACAGCGGACTACAACCAAGACGAATTAGCGGCGCCATGCTGCGATCGGAGACAGGCCGTGTGTCGATGCCACACCGTGTGCTGAGGCCCAAAGGAAACATTAATAACGGGCACAAGGAACGGGCCATGAGGTAGCCGAACAGAAGCACAGACGCATGTCTCATTCGCAACAGTTAGTGTGCAGAAAGAACTGATTAAAAGGTTCAATGTCCAGATGTGCAAATAAGAAATACCAGCAGCTGAAATCTGATTGTTTATCTAAAGGGCATCTGGTCCAGTTCTGTTTTAGATCGATACTTAAAAAAAATCCATAATATACCTGGAGCCATCAGGCAGCGTGTCATTTTGTTGATCTGTGAACAAAGTTCCTGTTCATCAGCAGCATGTTTCATCTATAGAGGTGATTGGTCATCCAGGCTTCAGTTCCAACCCTGAGGCCTTTGTTGCATGTTGCCTTCTGAACCCCGAGACTGACCAGTTCAGAGGTCTGCAGCCAGGCCACTCTTAAGTTGTATCAAAAATACTAAAGATGTAGTGTTTTAAAATGCTAGCTGTTTTCATGCAATACAGCTCTGGTAAAAATGAAGATCCACCGCACTGAACCCCATTGGAAACCTCTTGGTTATTTCGCCACATATTGACTTCTGAACTCTTCCTGAGTTAAAACATTATTGTTGTTGTTGTTTCTAAATGAATATGAACGTGTTTGCTTTGCATTATTTGAGGTCTGAAAGCACTGCATCTTTTTTGTTATTTTGACCATTTATCATTTTCTGCAAATAAATAGACATTTTGCTTGGAATTTCAGAGACATAATGTCAGTAGTTCATAGAATAAAAGAACAATGTTCATTTTACTCAAACATATAAATATAAAAATTCAAACCAGAGAAATTGATTATTTTAAGTGGTCTCTTCATTTTTTTCCAGAGCTGTATATGCAAAGCATGTTCACAAATAATAACACTAATAGTCTAAGGAATATTATTTTTAAATATAGTTTTTCTCTTTTAGTTGCAAAGTTTGTGCTTTTTTGAAATCATTTTCTATTAAATATTTTACATTCCACTGAAAAACTGTGTACATTCTTTTTGTGTAAAAAAAAATGTTAGATAACTGTTCTTTAAAACCTAACCTCAAACAATCTAAATAAGCTAAGCTAAATAAGCTAACGTGTTTCATGTAGCTTTTGTAGCCTTAAAATATATTTAGCTGGACCAAAGGCCAAAAAAGATTCTCTGTGTCGTAAAGGTCACTGACTCCTGCACAAGTCCCAAAAACTGCCTAACAGGAAGCACAATGCACTTATAAGTAAAACACATTTAATGATCACTTGTTATTTTCTACGCTAAATGATTTCAGTTGTCAAATATGCAGAATGTAAACAGACACGGAGTTTGGGAGGTTGAGTCACTTTGAGCTTTAATGGGTCGCTGGGTAAAATGTCCTGAACTGAACGGCTCAAAGAGTGTCCTAACAGCGCCATCTTTTGGCAAGTCACGTTTAATTACCAGATTACCTAGTACACTTGTACTATATAGAAATTTAATATTTACACATTATACATACAGTAAAAATTCTTAACATACATTAGGTATGGTAAGTCTATGTGATGATGTGTAATAATGCTTTTGCAAAATAATGTTTAATACATCAATGTAAAAATAACTGAGTTACATCTGAACATCTTCTTATTAAAAAGGTTTGAATGCTATCACTGAAAGTCAAAGACGTATAGCTTCGCCCCGATCATCTGGTCACCAAGTCCTCAGAGTTAACGCTTTCACATTTACTATCAGGTCTCTGGTCTCTTCTGTTGCTACCATGATTAGCATCACAGCTGCTAGTAATGTAATACGTACGGCATGTGTAATGATGAAAATAGTGTATTACACACTATGCTTTCCTTCTTTAGACCACTACTTGTCTGTTTCGAGGCAACATTTAATAACTTTAATAAACTTAAAGGGTCTAACGCTGATAATAAAAAAAAGGTTTGTGGATGGTGGCAGGTTGTAGGAAACACTTCAGATAATTCGTGTCAGGAAATACTCTTGTTGTACTGAGCTGTAAAGGAATGGGCCCAGTGTGACGTCACAGATGGACTTTGCACATGCCTTCACAATTTGAATCTTAAACAAAAGTGGCATGTCAGGTTGAGCTGTTTTTAATTACTACAACACAGCTACGGCGCCTCGCAAAAATATTCACACCCCTTGAAAATTGTTTACATTTTGTCACGTTACAAACTTCAATGTGTTTAAAGGAAAAGAGCAGTGGTGGGCGCCACTAGCTAAAATGTTAGCTGAGCTAACCCTAAAGCACTAATCATAAACACTTAGGCTAAAGCGCTATACCAACATGGTATTTAGCAGAAGCTAACGCTATAGAGCGAGCTAGCTTCCACCATGTTGATACCCTCCATGACACATGTTACATCATAGTAAATTGCCCTAAACAGGGTCAGAGTTGTTATTGCATTTTAGGGGAAGCTAAGTGTGCTAGACATACTCAAAGTTAGCATTCATTCAATGCTAAAGCACTGAGTGGAAAATTAACTCCACTATTAGCGCATTAGTGAAAGTGTGGCCACCACTGGAATACTTACTACATGTAAGGCATAGCTGGGAAGAGATGACGAAATGACACAATTTTTCTAGAGATAAAATCTGACAAGAGTAGAGTTGATGATTAGATAAAAGGAAACCTGCCGTCTTGGGCACCCCACTGTTTATATCAAAGCATATTCACGAGTTACATCTGCAAAATGACAAGATGTGAAAAATTTCAAGAGGTGTAAAGGAGTCGAACCCGACCTCTTACCTGAACACTGCAGGAGTCAGGCACCGTAAAGTCTGCTCAAAATCTTTTTTTACATTTTAAAGTGACATGCAGCACTGCTAAACAGTCACCACCTGATTTTTGTTAGAGTTTAAGCTGCATGAAAGGGCTATGCTTAGTACCAAATACAAACTTCCAGCATCCCTCCTGAAGAACACATGAAATATCGGACTATTTTTCTTAAATTGTAAGAATAAAGTGCAATATTCAGAAAAAAACATTGAAATTAAAATGGAAAAAAAAATTGTAAAGGTTCTTAATGAGACTGCATTCTTCAACGGAATTAGCTACAATGATAATGTTACTTCTCTGCCATGGTCTCTTACTGTTCGCAAATAACTAACACTGCTGGTTATGGCATTGTTTTGACTGAAAAAAACATTAGGAGGCGTTTTCCTAATGAGAGATGTCCTAGTGCTTCTTTCTTACAGAATGAGATGAACACAGGAACAAGCACAAAGTAATCCTCTAACATGGTATCCAAGGTCAATGGTGAGCTTTGAGGAAGGTCGCAAAGTCTCTAGTCATAGGACCATTCTTTCTGTTTGAACTAGTACTGTAGCTGTTCTGTAAATCTATTTTGTTTTTCTGTGGGAGCACGGTGGGGATGTTGGAGAAACGCTGGATTAATTACTCTGGTTGCTGACTGGAGGAAACTCGTTCTCGTCATCCAGACAGATTGGGCCCTCTGCAAATTCATGCTCAGGGATGACTTCCCCTCTCTGGGCTCCGCCGTCTTCAGAGTAGCCTGGGAGGGAGAGAGAGAAGAGAGCTGTTTTCTGATCAACAATCCAACGGAAAAAAAAAAAAAACATGAAATTTTAGGGATGCACTAATTGCTACTTTCTGGATGATCGCTGATTACCGACCTTTAAAAAGCCTGACCTGCCGATTTTGGCCAATACCAATGTTTCTGGCTGAAATGTTGCTAAATATTACAGCAACTCGGAAAAGTATTCACACCCCTGGATTTTTTTCACAATCACAGCCTTAATCTTTTATTATAGACCCACATAAAATATCACAAAGCTCTGAAGTGGAATCAATCTTCTGTTAGATAATTATTACGTTTGTGTTGGTGTTTCATCACAAAGTAAATGAAGCACATTTACTTTGTGATTTTAACTAGAGAAAAATATTTAAACGGCCAAGCTGTGGAAACATTGTAAGAGGTTTTAAAACACAGTAAATGTCTGCCATTACCACACTTTATTAAAAAAGTGGAAAGAACAAATAAAAATGGATTACACATATTTAGTATTGAGAGACATTTCTAAGTCAACAACAGGTTACCCATGAGTGTGGTGGAGGAAGGGGGCGTGGAAGGAAGAGCCACAGTGGCAGCATATGATTGGCCGGCGGGTTGCTGGGGGCCGTCCTCTTGGTTCTCCTCTTCCTTCTCCTCCTCCTGCTCCTCACCCGATTCAAAGAGTCTGAAGGAGCAGAGCAGAGGGGACAGCAAGGAAACATGAACATTGGTTCACTTTTTTTAGTCGTTTTGACAGCGTAAATATTTCCGGTAACATGACCACACCTGTGTTTTTGAACAAGGACACACTCGCCTCCGTCTTGCGGATCTACATTGTAGACATAGAGGTAACCCTCTGAGGACGCAACTAGCAGCCGTGGAAGCTTCTGAATCCTGAAACACAGATAAAGTGTAATCAGATCTATTTAGATACATATTGTGGATGGAAAACACAATACGCAGTGTTTTCCATCCATCCATCCATCCATTTTCTGAACACCCTTGTCCCTCAGTGGGGTCGGGAGGGGTGCTGGTGCCTATCTCCAGCTAACGTTCCGGGCGAGAGGCGGGGTACACCCTGGACAGGTCGCCAGTCTGTCGCAGGCAGTGTTTTCCAATTATTTAAAATTAATCAAATAATTAATTTCAATTAATTATTTGAAATTAATTGAAATTAATTTCAAATATTGTCCAGAAATATTTGGAATATCTGGATAAACCTGGAAGTTTTCTGAGGTTGTGAAGTAGAACATTCACAACCTCATGTTCCATGAAATTGGAACATGAAACTTCCAATTTCATGTTCTGAAATTGGAAGTTTCAGAACATGAAAAATGTATCCTTCTTGAGGTCAGAAATGAATGCAGTAGGGCCATTGCTCATAGAAAAAAACAAGTAAATTTTCTACCAAAAAAACACTTAAGAAATGTTTAGATCAATTTCAGAAATTTCCTCCAAAAAACTTGGAAACTTTTGAACTCTAAAAATTTAAAATTTGTAAAAAAAAAAAAGAAATTTCTAGATTAATTGCAAAAATGTTCTAGAAAAAAAACTTGTACATTTTCTGAGCTCATAAAGTAAAATATTTTGGACTTTTGGGAATTTTCTGAGTTTTAAAATTCGAGATTGTTTGGCTTTTTGTGCTCACAGAACTTCCTTGTTTTTCCAGAACATTTTCTGGCAGAAATTTACTATTCCTTATTTTTTTTTCTGTCTTACCCCAATAAGCCGTCATAGGTACAACCCTTTTATATAAAAAATAAAAACAAACTAAAATAACTTTGCGGTGCTGATTTCTTACGTGGCCAGGGCACAGATGTTCTTCAGGCCGAACATGTTGAGCCGTACGGTGGCGAAGGCGCGGTCCTGGTGCATCATGTCAGACACATGAGTGGGTAGGTAGGTGCTGGCTGCCGTGAACATCTTCCCCACGTATGCTGACCATGTTGGAGATTCCTCCTCTTGACTGGAGGGAACATGAGGGTTCAGGATCAATATTTAAATTACATTTTTTTAACCCTTACACCACTGGCCATACCAGTAGGTGGCAACAAAATCACCAGTGACATTAAAAAGAAATCTCACTTTAATGCTGCAAAAACATGATTCAACATTTGCTGTTGCAACACTGAAAGCCTCTGATCATCAAAATTGAGATGAATAAAAAACTTTTAAGACTTCTGTTGGCTTTCCTCTCCTACCAGATTTGTCACTGGGTCATTTCAAAAAGAGAAAAATGTCCACTATTGTTGGAAAACCTGGGAAATGTCATGATGTCAAGCAACTTTTAATTAAATTATTTATTATTATTATTATCTTTTTTTTTAAAAACTATTTCTAGTTTTTATAAATGGCCCAAAAGATGTTCAGACCAATCGTTGGAAAATGTGTCAGGTAATATATGCTAGCTTACACAACACTTAAAATAGCTGTGGTTACACTGTAGTTATGGTTTTATTCCTTTAGTTTTTTTAAAGACATAGGTTCACAGATTAGTATGTAGAATTATGATTTATGGATTATTTCAATATTTTTCCATTAGTTCTTTAAAAAAACAACAACTGAGACTTGTACATGTGATAGTTTGTAACATATTTACAGATATTCAAACATTTTGTTTTGAGTAAACCTGACAAGGTTATGAAAACAGTCATATTTTGGAGATTCTCACATATGTATAATAAGTTATGATCATTGGCTGTTTGGGTTTTAGTTTTCTTCTGGGTTTTAATCATTTCTGTATTGGATAGATCTCGCTAATATTTGCTTCGTCTCTTTGTGTTCATTATTGTCACTAAGATGTTGCCATATTAGTTCATTCCTTTGCTCCTGTTATGTTTCTTGTATTCTGAAATTATTTCTCTTAGATCGACAACAGGCCTTTTCCTTTTTGGGTTGTAGACCCTAAGGTTTTAGTTAAGTCTTCCTCCCTCAGCCTCCCTGCTGTTTCCACCCACAGCTGTTCCACATCTCCTCTGTTTAGTTCCACCTCTGCCTCCTGTTTTTTTTTTTTTTACATCGTTCCTTTGCTGTATTTTTCCATTCCGCTGCCTGAACCTCTGTCCATGCTCCATGTCCTGCTCTTGACACACTTCATGACAGTTACTTTGGTTAGGTCAGTGAGGCATGTTGAAGCGACCTGGAGAAAGCAGGTGAAGTAGGTTAAAGGTCTGTTTGTCTGCATTATAACTGCAGCCTGATGCCAAAATGGGGGCAAACAGCTGGCTTGTGCCTGAATACACACCTGATTGGTGTGTATTCAATACAATGTGTGCCTGACATGAAGCAGATATTCCATGCTGTGTATTGTTTTGTAATACACAGCATGTGTCTCGAGAGTGAAAATTCTCAAATCTAAGCTGCAAATAGCTAAAGAGCGTTCTGACAGACTGTGACACTAAAAATGTCTGTCTCTTTAAGGCCAGCTCACTGAAAAGCTTTATGTCAGGGCTGATCAACCAGTTGATTTTGTGTTTCCGATGTTTTCAGTCGGTTTTTCAAAGTGGGGTCCGTGGCCCGCTGGGTGGGTCATTAGGGGGCCATTTAGGGGCCTCAGAAAGTTAGAGGGAAGATGAGGGGGAAAAAATAAAACATATTTTAATCATAATCTTTTCTTCTTTTTGCCTTTCTTTTTAAAATATAATGAATAATTTCAAATAATTGATTTAAATATTATTTTTGATGCCCGTTTTTTGATTGGCTGCCAGTCAAACTGACCAAGCTGATTTGCTCCTCAAGCTAGCGTAGCAAGCAATGGAAAAGTTTCTGAGTAGAAAAAGAGCAAAGTTTGTCCAGCAGCCCATGTTCAGCCTTACTGCTGTAAAAAACCAGAAGAACTGTGGGAATAAAATAACATTTGATGTGATTAAAGCAACATTATGTATTTTCTTATCATCAAAGGAGGGGATTGTGATGAAAAATGGTTTTATCTGGTAATAAAATCAGAATCTATTATCTGATAGTAAAATTTTCTGCCACAGAACTCGTGGCTAACTAAAATCCAAAGCTATGCTATGCTAAGTAAATGTAATACTTATTGAGTAGTGAATAAAAACCTTGTAAAAGTTAATGCTTCTCTACATATTTTGTACATCATCTGCAGGTTTGTAAAGAGGGTCTCTGAGCAGAGGCTAAAGCTGCTCTAAATAAATTAGGTTGTTAAATAAATGAGTGAAAGTCTCCATGTACAAATAACATTGTACCTTTAGATTGGAACATTCAAGCCTTTATGACCGTTTTACCCCAGAGCTTCTATTCGGTGACTCGAACATAAAAGGAAATAGTGTTTACCTGGGGCTGTGTTGTTCCAGTTTGAAGATGTGAACAGTCTCAGTGTTGCTGGAAGCGCACAGGAACTGAGCGTCTGCGCTGAACGACAAAGAGCTGATGCTAACGTATCTGAAACAGGACATCAACGAGAAAATTGCAAGATGCAATTGTTAATTTTTCAAAAGAGAATATACGTTGCTAACATAACGTTCTTATAATAAGAATATCATCTTAGGAAAAGAGATGAAATTTGATTTGAGAGTCTGTTCATAGTTAGAGAACACTAACTTCAAAATTCCTTTTCAAAAAACGCATGTAGCAGTTTGTAAAGCATCAGTGCATGTAGCATGGTACTGGAATCACACCTGATCTAGTTCTTGAACAAGAACTGAACAATTCCAACCTCTGAGTGAAGGCGCAGAGTGTTTGTTTTAGCAACCTCTCACGTGAAACTTATTCACATGTGATTTTGATTCCATTTCTTATTTAATGGAGACACTTGAATTGCAAAAAAATTTTTTTTTGTAATACTAACAGAATATTGACAACATTTTGCGCATATTTATAAAGGAAATGCATCCAGGTACTGATGTGCTGTTAGCCTCTTAGCATCCTCTAAAAACCAACTCCACAAAAATTGCTTTGCTGAGCCGGAAGTTTTTCCACTACTAAAACGATTCTCTTCATCCCAGTCCGCAAGCGTAGCAGCACAGAATATTAAAACCACATATAAACACAAACCTTTTCATCCCCCGACGAAATTCAAACAACTTCTGACCCTCTGGGACGCTGAAAACTCTGATAACAGTACCCTACAGAAAAGAAGTAGTTCACGCTCCCTGTTATTGAAAACAACAAAAGCAGGGTTTTGCTGTTTTCACGGTCTTGCCTTCTCAGATGCGCTGGCCAGCTTTGTGCCGGAGGCGTTGAACGTCAGGGCCGCCAGCGGGCTGTCGTGGGCCTGGATCAGGGTCACCGTGCTCTAACAGTGGGAAAACAAAGGCTTTCTAGTGACATGCATCCAATCTCAAACTGGGGTTCACCATGCCAACCCCGATCCTCACCAGGTTGTTGGCGTCGTAGACCGTGATCTCTCCAATGGTGGCGCTGCCTGGGTAAGCCAGGTAGGAGTTGCCATGGTTAACGGACAGCGCACAAAGGCCTACAGGTTAGCAGAGGGAGCATTGTAAGTTTTTATACCAGTTGGGAGGTTGTATTTTCTTTTCTCTTTTCTTTTTTAAGAAAAATAGTTAATAGAAAACAAATGTTGCATCTAACATTTTGGAATAAGATTTCTTTTTTTTAAAATCTGACTCTGAAAATAAAGTGTTCATCTGCATCAACGGTCAATGTTTGTAGGACAGATTTGCTCCGTTCTGAACAGAATCACCCAAACGGCTGTAAATGGCCCTGGTGTCCCAGTTTTAATGCCCATGTTCTAAGTGAAAACTCTGTAATGTGTTTCAAATAACCAAAACAGGAGTGTCTCTGCGAACGTTGAGTTTTTGCATCCATATCATCAAACGACTTGCTTACCGTGTTACAGTGAGCTGCAGCTGCTCTCCTGGCTAAAACATTCATTTTGTGAGAAATTGTTCCGGCTGAACCAATTCCCATTCATCTGTGTCCAATGAAAATGGACAAACTGGAGAATCCAGTTTCTAGATGCTTCATTTAAAATTGACTCCAATTGGATACATGTCTTTAGTTTTGATTGAACCAACTTTAAAACACCCCACTAGACATTACCCACTAAAAATCTGTCTAACATAAATACATTAGAAGCTAAAGAGATGGTAAAAACGCTTAAAGTTATCCATAATGAATCTTCTGAAAGAACACTTTTAACTAATTTATGTGCACAAGCAAGTTTGGAGTTTATAATTTTGCGCAGACACTTTGAGCCTGTGGTCCATTTGCTGCTGCAGAGCTATTTTCAGTTAAATGACCTGGTAGCTGGGTTTACCTGTTGGGTTGACCGGCGTGTTGAGCAGGGTCTTGAGGAGTTTCATGTCTCTGATGTTGTGGATGTAGATGGACTCCTCCAGGCACACCACAAGTCGCTGAAGTCGACAGACCAAGAGATCAGCACGGCAACGTAGCCGGACACAACCGGAAAGATCCGCTTCCTGTTCTCACCTGTCTGTTCAGCTTCACCGACAGGATGTTGTTGGAGTAGCTATAGTTGCAGATTTCCGTCCCCTTCTTGAAGTGGTAGACATTCATTCGACGGGGCATGGAGAGACTGACCACCACCACCAGGCTGCTGGAGAACAATCGCTCCACGATGTAGACGTCTGGGCATTCCACTGAGAGAGAGGAAACGGAAACAAAAGCAGCCTCGTGAGTGCCACCGATGAATGCAGACAAAAGGGTTTCCTGTAAGGGTGAGCTGTTTGTCCATTAATACATTTAGCAGCGATGACATGAGATTGATTGACAGCACTAAGCCCCTCCTCCTGTCTCTGATTGGTTGTTTTTGATTGGGGCGACTCAGGAGTGGTGTGTTTCTCCTGACGGCAACAGAAGGTGAGGGAGGAAATTTATCTACTCACAGATTATTTGTCTCATTATTTTTCACAATATGGTGAGAGTTTTAACAAATATGCTTGGAATATTTTTTTTAAATAAAATTTACATACTGCATCTTTAAAAACTAGGCTTTAAACGTTTCTTTTTGAAAAACTTAAAATTAGAGAGCCTTAGCTCATTTTTCTGTTCCTGGAGATTTTGAAGCACCAGTCACTCTACCATAACTGTCCAGTGACACAGTGGTCCTGCAACAATCAATGCTCATCATATTTCCTATTCCAACTCCTGAATGGCCACCAGGGGGCGTGATGAGACTAAGACGAATTTAGGCCACATATTGCAGAATTTAACAAATTTTCAATATGAACATCCATAACATCCATATGAAACAATTTATGCAGTTCATTCCCAAACAAAACTGTTGATTTAGTTCTTAGTTAGTTGTTAAGAATTATTTGCTCATATTGTTGCTATTAAACTTATTGTTTTCCTTCCCTTTTCTCTCCTCAACTAGTTTGGTTTAAAATTGAGATCTGAATTAAACTTGATTGTCTGGTAAAGTGATTGTAAATAAACAAAAGTATTGATTCAAACATATAATTTTTACTGTATATCATTTGATGGGTGCACTTACACTATGTTTACAACTAGACCTGTCATGATGACAAATACTGTCATAAACAATAATGTTGGTTTTTGAGACAATTTGGAAGTAACATAATGGTAATGGCATGGTAATAACAATAATAGTAATAATAATAATAATAATAATAACAATAAGTAAACTCTCTCAAAGATCAATAAACTTTGAATTCTAATAAACATTTAACACTGAAACTGGAAAACATTTAAAATATCCAAAATGAACAGACAAAACAAAAGAAAGAACAAATAAAAGGATTTATGAAATCTGTAAACAAAATGTTCCTTCAAAACAAAAAAGAAAAAGAAAAAAACAGGGAGCAAAGAACCAAACTGAAAACATTTGGTTTCCAATGTTAGGTAAAAAGAAAGAAAAGAGGAAAAACAACGATAAATCATGCCAATGGAAATGACTGAGCTGGTTTTAATTTGTCATGCTATTAATTAATTGCTTCTCGAGACATCCGAGGTTGAGAAGTCATGATACGGCCCATTTGATGAGGGCTCAACAAAGCACTTAGACAGCGCTGTGATTAGCAGAATAAAGCAGCAGCAGACTGCTTCTGTGATAAATATGAATACAAATTGCACGTTCTGCAACAATGAATCCTCTTCGTTTCAGGAGTTTTTGCTTGGTGGTGAGGTGTTAGCATGGAAAGTGCCTGCTTCGTACCTCCCTCATGGACACAGTCCAGTTTGTCCACAGCTGTGACGGAGAAGAGCCGGTATCCTGCCTTCGTGCCCACGGACAGAGAGCTGCGATCAAAACACACACACATGCAGAGCTGCTCACTGTCACACACACACACTGTCATCAAGAGAAGGAACTTCATGATCAGAACCTACAGTATGAAACACAACCATCTCCCCGGCTGTTAGGTTAAAGAATTATTTTGCGAAAAATAACAAATGGAGTCCTTTAAGAAGATGGATCGCATTGTTCCTACAGGTAAACACGGTGGTGGCAGCATTATTCTTTAACTAGGCTTTCATCTGGAAAGAACACAATTGTTCCTGTTGCTGAACAAATGTATGCAAACTTCTGAATTCAAAAAATCTGTAAAAGAAAAAAAAAAAATATATATATATATATATATAGTTCTTCCTACTTTTCTAAAACTTTTCAAATAGGAGTAATTTTTGGTCATTCTGGCTGACCTAAACCGAGAGAAGTTTGGTCTAATTTAACTTCAGACAGTGAGAAAAAATATATTGCTTATGTTACATAAGCAATATAGGAAATAAGTAAACTTATGTGACACTTTAAAAAGAGCCTACAGTAGACCAGGACACCCCGATTTTTCCTTTATTTTTTTTTTCAAAGTATTGTAGTTTTAATAAAACTGATAGGCTCACATCAGGTGAATTGTTTATATTCAAGTATTTGAATCTTAGGAAGTTATTTATTTGGGAACAACATGGAGCTATTGGCCAGTGGACATAGTAAACCTACCATGGATCACTGCCTACCTGCTACCTATTAATGTACTTTAATTTTCATTAAAAATACAAAAAGATATATGTTATATATATATATATATATATATATATATATATATATATGTTTTAGTGTTTTTGTATATGTTTTGGTGCTCTATTCAGTACAAAGAGAGAATAGAGAAAAACGATAAATCCTCGGCGTCCAAAATATATGTATATGTTTTATGTACTGGATATTTTTTTGGACTGGAAAGATACCAGAACTCTGAAGTGGTTCTGGGATGAAGTGCAATTATTCTTAAGAACTTCAGCAACCCTGGGGTGCCTCTTATTTCTTTATTAACATTCAAAAAACAAAGCAAAATGCTTAAGAAGCATATTTATCCATGTTACTAACATATGTCCCTCAATTTGTTAATCCAGATTGTTGATGTTATGGTCAGCTTGGTTCGATCATAAATTCACTACTTTGATGTGCAACAGTCCCTGAAGATTAACACAGTGGCCTACTTCACCTCCGCCTTATCTTGAAGTTCTGATGTTCCGATTACAAAAAAACCTGCAGATTTGTTCTGTTTGCTCTCTGGTTTCACTGTTTGGGTTTATGTCAACAAAACTAATAAACCGTTATCTGGGAATACGGCTGAAAATCGTTATGCAACAGTCAGGTACATGAAGGAGTTCACCCTGGGCCCGGCTCCGCTCGGCTCGGCTCGGCCCGGCCCGCAGGTCGCTTACGTGGTGTCCTGGTTGAACGAGGCGCAGATGAAGTGGCGGTGCGGTCCGGGGCCCTCCGATACCGCCTCTTGGGTCTCCATCCGAGCCACCGGAGCCTCTGTCGTCTCGCTGTCCGAGGTTGAAGGCCTTTGGCTCGGGCCGATCCCCGCCGGAGCCCGCTGCTCCTCCTCGGCGTCCAGACGCCAAGCGCCACGCTCGCACTCTTGAGGGAAAGGAATGTCCGGGCTCAGATAGCGGTTCGGGGAGCGCTCATTTCCCAGAGGAAGAGTTCTGCTGAACCGAAACAAGATCAAAAATCAACGCTGTCACCTCCCGAATAAGATGTTTCGCCGTAGCCAGTCAGGAATCCTGTTATTATGCTGCTATTTAACTTCCAGTGTTCTCGGAGAAAAACAAAAACAGCTGATGGGAGGATGCGTCACACTTAGCAGCGTAACGATTGGCTTATTCCAACAGGTCAACCCTCTTCCTTCTCGCATTGCTATTGGCCAACATTTTCTGCGCTGACGTATGATTGGATAAATCGTTTAAACATCAACCACGAACTGTCTATTAAGAAGGCATCAAACGCCTGATTGGTCAATTAATCTTTCTGTCTTATCACGAGGAATTGTTTTGGTTATTTAATTGGATAAAACATGTAGACAAAAACAACCCAGAGAAGGTGCAAAAGCTAAAAAAGTTTGGCGTAATTTGGTCATACCCCTCCCGACCCCACTTGGGACAAGGTTGTATAGAGAATGGATGGATGGATGGATGGATGGATGGATGGATGGATGGATGGATGGATGGTAATTTGGTGATGTTTGGCTTTTTTCTCGGGGAAGGAACATAAAAGTTTTTACCGTAGCAGATTTTACCTGTGATAGATTTACTCATACTTGTGTTTAAAAATAATACCAGTGAAAGAAAAAAAAATCATTAACCAGATAAAGTAAATGGAAAAGTAATTAAAAAGCTAATAATATTCAGTTAATTGTAAAAAGCCTGAAAACAGAGCACAACAAGTGTAGTAAATGTTTTTACTTGGAAGTGGTTATCATGATGGGTCACTAAATTAGCAAATCAATGGGTTTTCACATTTGCCCCTGGAACAGTAAACAGTAAAAAGTTATTGGCCAGCATTTTCCAACCTACTGTTCTGGCAGTAGAACAGTACTTTCTACTGTTTCTCAGTTTAAAAGAGAGTTTATGAACTCATTTACAAACTACAAATCTAATTTGGCTCAGATTTAATTTGGTATTTCATAATTGTAAATCTGGGTGAACAAAAATTAATTGTGGAGTTCCTCAAAGGTCCATTCTTAGGCCACTTTATTTAACATCTACATGATAACCCCTATTTTAGATGTTCTACAGCATTTCCAACTGTATGCTGACAACACAAAACGTTATATCTATGTCACCACATAGCTCTACATTCACTCAGATTGTCCATAATATTAATAAGTCAATGCCTCAGAAATCCAACAAATTAATGCAATTTGGTTGCAAAATATAATTTTTGACACCCAAAACTGCAACAATTTCAATAGTCATGTTATATACAATTAATTTTCAACTGATTGCTGTAATAGCTTTTTTGTTATTTTTCTTATTTTGTGTCTCATTTTCTTGCATTGTGTAGTGCAGGTTTTGCATCTGATTTGGATTTTTTTTTTAAAGTATAAGGAAACTTTTTGTTTGATGACTACATGCTAGGTATCCTATTTATTTCACACATATTTTTGCAAAGTTTAAAATATTTTAGTTTTTTAATCTATTTTATATCACTTAGCTGACATTATTCTTTTAATAGCTTTCATAATTCACTTCTTTTTATATGTGCTATCTGAATAAACTTTCTTCCTTTGTTCAAAGATTTTTTGAATCTGCCGTTTGATATACTTTAAAATGTAAATTAATAGCTGCGCTGCATGTTGGCTGAGTGTTTCGTAAAAGGCCCGTATTCTGACCACAGTTAGACCAAAACAGCAGTTTCACTACTGTAACGTAGGTATTGCATACGATTAAAGCACTTTCAAATTCTCTCATACGCATTTTACCGTTTCATTTTGCATTAATGTGCAAACTAAGTGAACGAAGATGATGGTATTGCTTTCATATTAGTTAGTCGTGTTCTGGTAACAGAATGTAGATTATTAATCTAATGCTTTTCATCAACTGCTTTTGTGTGTGCGAACCATTTCCTTGACGTCACCATTTCCGCGCTGTCTCCTTTAAGGTTGCTACGGGTTACAGGCTCACATGTCAGAACTGGGAGAATTGACGTCAGTGACGGCTGCTGATTGGTTCTCAGTCGTATCCGGTGGGGCAGCGGTCCAAGGCTCGGAAAAAAAATCGAAGCGAGCAGGAAGATCTGGTAACGGTGCGCTTTGTGAAAAATATCATACGTGCCGAGTCTTTATCGAAAGGCTCGGTGGGATTTTACAGTTTTTGTGAGTATTTGTGTCGTTTCACCGCAGTCTGCTTGGGTGAAATTTTGTTTCCTGCGTTTCTCGTTTGTTTATGATAGAACTCAAGATGGCGTCATTGGAGGAGAGCTTTGCCTTTGCACAGAGCCAGCAAGCCAGTCGTTGACGCACAACGTAGGCCAAATATAGTTAGGCAGCTATAAACAACCTGTATTGAGCATTTTTCTGCGTTTAGGGGAATATTTTTCAACCAGTTCCTAGTTAATTTGTTTGCGGTGGGTCTCTTCAGTTCATCCGTCGGCCTTCTTGACCTACACGGCGATACTCCTACAGACAGGACATTTGATTTATATTCTAAAAAGCAGTTTTAATGAATACACTTGCATTTATCGACTTTCCTTCAACACATTTTGTCGTTTTCTCGTAAGCCACGTTATTATGGATGACGAAAATGCCTTCACTTTAACTGACGTTCATTATTTGATGGACAGCAGGTAAAATTGTGCAAGTAAACTGAAGACTAAATGTGATTTTTTGGTAGACCCAGACCGCCATAATGGGTACTTGGATCAATCCATTACATAAGCCGTAAATTCTCTACTAATAGCTGTTACATGTGGGTCCAAAAACAGAGGCATCTTTGGCTTACAGGTTCCGCGCTAGGTTAGATTAAAACAATCCTGCCAAGTTTTCAGTACAAACGGACTTTATTGCTCAGAATCTGTGCCTGGATTATTATTATTTGTGTTTTATATGTTTGATAACTGGTCTGTAATTTCCCTTGCACAGTTGTCAGATTAGAAGTGACATGGGTGCCGTTCATGCTCAGTGCACATGCCCAGTCCCCATGCAGGCGGAGATTGGATTGTTCTGCTAGTGACACGGGTCCTCTTTATTCTTCTAAAATGCACACATTGATTGGTGGCAGCAGTTGAGAAGCAGTGCTGCTGCTGAAACGCGGACAGGTTGAGCTCAGTTAAAACTCAAAGCCTGGGAGCAGCTAAGGTCAGGAGGTTTTTGCATTTTTGTCGAAATTCCGTGCTGCATATGAATCCTGTTGTGGTTCGGCCTGTTTAACAGCAGCTCTGTAACTGTAGGCCCTGTGGGTGACGAGACATCAGATAGTTGAAATATTTTCATTCAGTCACATAAGTGTGATCACATCATATGACCAGGCTTTCATGGCGAGCAAAACAAAACCCCGTCTTCCCGCCCTGTCTCACTCTGGTTCTATTTTTCTCACGTTCTCATCAGTTCTGTCAGTCCGCGTCTGATCCTTTCTCAGGATCTTCATTTCAGTGTTTCAGTAACACAGCGGCCAGGTTAGCCCTTTCAAAACCTCCGTTGTGCAGTTCTAATCTGACGTCGGGCTTTTTGTCTCCTCTCCAGCGTTAAGGTCAGAAGTCATAGAGCAGGGTTGCGGCTGTCGTCATGGCATCTGGAAGTACGAGCAGCGAGGAGGAGCGGAGCCTCAGGGAGTGTGAGCAGTACGTGCAGAAACACAACATCCAGCAGCTGCTGAAGGACTGCATCGTCCAGCTGTGCACCTCCAGGCCCGACCGGCCCATGGCGTTCCTCAGGGAATACTTCGAGAGGCTGGAAAAGGTCTGTGTTTGGTGTGGTTTGTAGTGGTAAACAAAGCATCACACCACCTTCATTAAGTGTGCAAAATAATGGATTCTTCTCACTTACTCTTTCAGCTGTTGCAATCATATCATCGATTAAACTCGTTTTAACCTTAACAGTGCTGCTGTTAAGGTTTTGGCTTTTGTTTTGTCTTTACTGTGTTTGAGAAAAGCAGATTTTATGTTTTTCAATATGATCTAAAATAGAGAATATTTATTAAATTAAAATCAAAATGGCTTCCAGTCAGGTCAGTTCAGTACCTTGTCTTACTGGTGTTGGTAGTTGTTTTGCAGTGTTTCCTTCTCTGCTTGCTTTGTTTTTGGATACTCACACTAACACAGTCTAGTGAAACATCAATACATGCTCAGTGCTTCCTGAAAATTTTCAACTCTTTAAAGCAGATTTTTGTTGTTGTTGTGCAACCTAAATTGCGCAACAATTTTTTTTTATAAAGATAAAAAAAATAAAAATTTTACCCCAGTAGACTTCCTTGTAGACTTGATTTAACTGGCTGTTTTGTTGTATTTTCATCCTCTAAGTAAAGTGTCCTTCAACCTCTGGTTGTAATGTGCAACTCTGGAGTTTAAAAAAAGAACCAGAATAATTACTGATAAGCAAATTCCTTTTAGTACTTCATTTATTACGAATCATAAGCTACAAACGCAGCACACTGATCGGTCCTTCAGTTAATTGTGGCCTGGCTCTGTGATTCGTAACAGTAAACCATAGTGTGCACTGTAACTTTAAGAAAAACTGTTTCAAAAGAATTTAAGAACTTTAAGCTTTTTGTGCCTCAACACAACACATAAATGACCTTTCTTTTGACAAAACAACAAGACGAGATAAGACTGAGGTGACTGAGCAGTGGACAATTGAGCTGCAAGCAAAACATTCACATCTCCAGGGACAAGGACTACTGTAGAAACCAAGCTTTTTTTTTTATCAGATACCCATAGATGGTTCTAGTAGATAGCAACCTAGTGTGAAAAATGGTCTGTCTGTTTTCTTATATCTGCCAAAGTACATGAAATATATATAGCTATACATCAGTGACGTGTGGTCAGGGGAGGCAGGTGAGGCAGAGCCTCACCTGTCATCATGGAAAAATAATATATAATAATAAAATCATTTATATTGCTATTTTCACCCTGTGGTTTGTACTATAAAGTATCTACTTTTTACTTATCTTAGCCAATTTTGATGATTTTTTCTTCAAAATCGCTGGATTTTCGCATTTTCCCATGCAAATGCTCAGATGCGAAGCCGGTGAGGCAGCAGCGAGCTGAGCCTCACCTGGGATTGCGCAACCTCTGGCTAACTGCACTGGCTGCCATTCTATGGGAGCATGTTCGTCCTGTCTGTACGCCGGCAATGAAATGGCTAAAAAATATTTAATATATGGACTGATTTTCCATAATTTAGCTTATGTATATAATGTACAGTGTTTTTTTTGTCACCAACTGTGTGTGTATTGTGTTTTGTGTGCGGAGGAGCGATCAGAAACGGCAGAAAATAGACTCGAGGTGAGTCAGGTGGTTCTCTTGCCTCATGGCAGGGGGCGCTCATGATCCCAGATATTGTGACTCCACAACTGCAGAGTAAGACACAGTGAGCTAGCCATGGAGTTAGCCATGCAGTAAATAAGTAAAGTACAGCGATATATTTGTTTTCTTCTCTCTTCCGACGTCAACATGAAAGACTACATTTCTACAGTTAAACAGTTTTCTGAAGTGGATTTTCAATTGAAGCAGGAGATAATATCTAAAGGAAGACCAACACCGCATTGCATTTTATTCAAGCTGCAGTATATAACTTTAATTAAAAAAAAAACAAAAACATTTGTTAAAGCTGTCATCATGTGTCATTTTATTAGGAGACAGATAATCTGTGAAACCAATCAATCTCCTCCACCTCCTCCCTGAACTACTATTGCTAAAGTAATGCAACATTCTGGCCAAAACAATTAATCAGTCTTAGAGCTGTCAATCAACCTCATTCACCCTCTGCTAAATATGCTAATGGAGGAGAAAGGAAAACCGTTTATCTGCCATCATTGGTAACTATGCTAACCAGACTGAGCATTCACAACAGGCTGCACTAGCTAGAGGATAGCAGAGAGCGATGGGAGGGAGGATGAGCAGCAACATGAGATTGTGATTGACAGCAGTAAAACTCTCCTGCCACTGATTGGTTGTTTCTAGATAGCACTGGAAGAAGGCAGAGGAAATAGATTTTTCACAATTAAATGGCAAGTATTGTTTGCATCCTCATGTGGTTGTGCAGCTGGCCGCGCAGTATCCTGTCACCATTTTAATGTGAAATCAACTAAATAACAGCGATATTAGGTTACAGATGTCTAGGTCTGTCGCGATAAACGATAAATCAATTAATCACACGATAAATTAAACCTATCGACCTCATTTTAAATATTGGCTTTATCGTCTCTTCCTGCCTTTTTTTTCTTTCTGTTGACACTTGAATGGAAAAAAAAAAGGCTCAACTCTGGTGCTCTCCGCTGATCCTCCCTTCCTCATTTTCTTAGTGTAATGTCCAGCGCACACTACACGAGTTGTCAGCTGATTGTCGGCCCATTTTCAAAACCTGAGACACACATTAGCCAACAGAAATCCTGGGTATAACGGTTCGATCGGGTTCGTCGTGCCGTGTGGTGTCCAGTCACCTGGGCACAAAATAATGGCTACAAATCCAGTTAACCAATTTTAAAACCAGGCATTAATCAATGCTTTACTAGAATCTACTTGTGACGCATGTGGCTAGAGTCAGCGTAAAGTCCTGACTGAATAAAAATCATTATAAC